GTTTAGCGTCGTAATTTTGTTCAAAATTTTAGTTTAATTTACACACCCCTGAAAAAAAAAAAAAACAAAAAAAAAAATTCTAGCTCACACACGGTATCTTCATTCCAAAACATTTTAGCATTTTTATGGAAACCAAGAAATTTACCAAGAATCAGTAATTACCATGTGTTTTGGCAACGCAGTTTTTCACGTGATCATCCACGAATAAGCTAGTAATATAGCGAATGCCATTAGAAATCAGGTGTTCACATCACTGGCCTGCTGCACAATGCCTGCTGCACAATGCAGCCTAATTTCAAAAGTTTCTCAAAAGAGAAAATAAGAATTTAAGAAAAAGAAAGATACGAGGCTTGTTTGTTTTCTCAAAGTCCACCGTCAAAAACACACAAAAAAACACGCACCTCTCTTTCTTCCCAAAGGACACCAAAAAGTTTTTCCCACCAAAAATATTGTGAAATCCGTGACCAAACCATGTGAGACTCTTTTAAGTTATTCCGCAACTCAATCCCATGAAATTATGGTATTGTGGTTGAAGTTTTAGGCCTTTTTAACCAATAAAAACCGACCAGCAAAAAAAAACAAAAACAAAAACCTAAGGCCAATTCTGTGAACCAGCACCCTTTTTTGGGGGACATTTCTCCCGCTTAAATTGAACAAGTGGCTTGATTTAGTTGCCATTTCAACCCGTTTTTACCGGTGTCTTTAGTGACTTTTCACCTTCTCACGGATCCCAATAGGAAAATGTTGAACTGAGTAAGTGTTTTGGAGGACATTTTTGTAATATGGGTGAATATTATATTATTTTATGTCTTTTTACAAATATATTTGGAGGGTATAATAGTAAATTTTCATAATAAAATGTTTAAAAATAGCGTCCCCCGCCGTAACCGGCTTCATGAAAAACGTAATACTTTTATGGCGAATCGTAACGACTTGCTGGTGAGTCGTAACATAGAGAAGAGTATTTTTAGATATGGAACTCATTTTTAACCGTGGTAATAAGACGACATGTTGTTCAATGAATGTGAATATTAAGGCATGTTTGTTTAATGCATTTAAAGCCATGAATTTGATTATGTTATAGTGTTTTTTTCTCACAAAAAATTTAAAATTCAAAAGGTAGAATCAAGAATCACTTATTTTAATGCATAAACCAAACAGGCCCTTAGTGTTTGCCATCGTAATAGTCTTTAAGAACAACGTAATACTCTTGTGGCGAGTCGTAACGAAGTGTTTGTGAGTCGTAACAGAGAGAAGAGTATATTTTTGTAACCGAAACTCATTTTTGTTGGTTTCCAACACGATTCCGGGCGATTTGTTCTAGCAGAAGTGGAACATAGTGGATCGACTGCATAACAAAAATTCCATAAACTTTTATTTATGCTATAGATCATATTAATTCATACTTGAATAATTAATCACATTAATTATTACCTTTGCAGCAATTAGGATGATATCTTATAGTCTTTGACCCTCGAATGTCCAATGCTCTGAGCTCCGGTACAGAAAACCGTAAGTCTTTCTCGTCTAGTCATTGGTTCTACTAAACGATGTGTGGGTACAAACTTAGAATTAATCGGGAATGATCACTCAACTAATTTTCTTTGCAGTCAATCTCAACACATGAGCAAGACTGAATTGGGGAGTAAAAAAAACTTTTCTTTTATGGCTTTTCTCTCTAAGGAACACGCCAATCTATAGGGGGAGACTGAAAATTAGAGAATCCCTTCACCTCTTTTTTATAGATTTGATCTCAGATTCCTAGATTTTAAAGATAATTTCATCAAATCTATTAAGTATCTTGAGTTTGAATCTAATTCAGAATCAAGTAAAACTCCCACTTAAATTTGAAACAGCTTAATTTCTCTATCTTGGAGCTTGTAGAACACGCCCCTGCCACACACATTGTGTGTATGTGGCGCCTACCTTTAGTGCAAAGAGGAGATAATTCCGAATTTATTTATTTAAAAAATCACATTATCTAAAATTTAAATTAATTCATAATTAATTTATTGAGTTTAGGATTCTATAATTTTAAATTATCATAATATCCCTTGTATCGAGTAGAATTTATAACAATGACGCAAGAACTTATAGATTTATAGTATCAAGCTCCAATAAAATTATTAATTAATCAAACTCTTTAATTAATTAATTAATTCTATTAATTTCAGAATTACTTCACTATAAACTTAAAATTACACTCTCGATATTGTAGGCAATTATATTTATAAATGTCCATTTAATATAGTCATTCCATATAGATCAATTCTCCATAAATAATTCATCATTATAGCTAGGATGTGAAATCCGTTAAATTCTCTAATTACTTTTTTATCCTTGAGTACTATTGATTATCTAATGGACAGTGATTCAAAAAATAAATTCATGAACCAGAATGTTCCTACTAGTTTAAGTACCAAATCAACACTGTAAGGGAATTATTTATCTGCTTCTTTCTCAAGAAAGAACGGAATCAATCTCGTATAATAACATTCGCGGCTACCTATTTTATCATGTCTCTAAGATACAAGAATAGGACTTAAGTGTGTCAAAATCCATACCAAAGATGAAAGTATCGATATTTGTAGAAATATCGGTACTTAAATTTTACAGAAATATCGACGAAAATGTCGATATCAGTGGAAATTGACGTAAAAAATAGAAATTCATACTAAAACACTATATTTTCAAATGAGACTTTAAAAACCTTAAAATAGATAATGATACATTAATTAGATAAAACTCTCAATCAAAATACCAATTATTTGATAAATATGAAAGGTAAAGTGTGATCATAATACTATGAATACTAAGCACATATTAACAAATTAAGTAAAATAACTAAAAGTTAACATAATACATATAACATACATATATGGTTTCATACATGATGATAAATTATCAATACTACAAGGAGCTTTTAGGAGGTTGGAATGTATTCTGAACACATTCTTAGTTTAAACAATATTAATATCAAGACAAAGAGTTTGAATAGTTTCTTATATAATTTTAGACATGCCATATTTTTAAGATTTTTTTGAAAAGTAAAATAATATATATATAAGATTGCGGAAATTTCTTAGAAATTTACCCATATTCCGCAAAATTTTCGTAAAATTTCCACGATATTCGGTCATTTAACACTACATTTTACTCAGAAATAGAAATTTTCGTGAAAATATCGATATTTACGAAAATATCCATGAAAATTTTAAGATATTCTGCGGAAAAGATACTACACCCCTATTTCCATATCAGTGCTTCTAAAATACGGAAATTTCTGTAGAAATATCGGTGAAAATGTCGATATTTTCATTATTGGTCCATACTGAGTAAGTCAAAAGATACAATTTTATAAATAGCAGTATGTTAAGAACTCAAAATTGAGATCGTTCTATATATAAACATCGGTAGACTCGAATCAATTTTCTATACTTACTGAAAATTATTAGAACGAGTCTTGTCCTGGTCCTATATAATCACATTATGTATAATACACTCACTTCAGTTTCTCCATACTAATGAAGCGGATAAGCTCGTTCTATTCGTAATGGGAATAACATGCATTAATAATATTCTTGATTAAAGATTATGAACTTTAGTCAAATTCATTACGGACTTGTCTCGATTATTATCTTTAAATATTATCATCTAGTATATAGTACTCATATACAATATTTAAAGTCACATAAATAATCGTAGAATTTTTAATAATATTCATAAAGTATTCAAATAATACATACACGATATAATGAAATTTCTCTTTTATTAAATAAATAATAAAAATTTTAACATATCTCATACTTTCAGGATACCAATCCTAGTAATTTTTAACCGTAGTAATAAGAAGACACGTCATTTAATTAATGTGAATATAATTTCAACTGCCATAACCGACTTCAAGAACAACGTAATACTGTTATGGCCAATTGTAACGAAGTGCTCATGAGTCGTAACGAATTACATCAGACTTCCCCTTTTTTTTTTCCTGAGAAACTCAACTGGTAGCCCGTCTCGTCTGATGTATCATTAATTGTCCTTCAATACCCTTTCAAATTTGCACTGTTGGATCATTTAAAAGTTAAGAGATACTCATCGGACGGCCACAATTGAGTGAGGACAAGTACATGCATTAAACAAGTGGGGGACTATAGCCATGTCCAAAACCGAAACCTTTCATGCAAAATTATTAATAAACAACTTCCCACCCTTTTTTTTTTCCTCTTCTTTCTTTCTTTCTCTGTCTCTAGGCACCACTCAAGTCATTGATAGGCGCTTCAGATCCCTTTTTTTTCTTTTCTTTTCTTTTCCCTTTGACGGCCCATGTGATTCCTCTCTATATGTATCCGTGATTTTGTCATGATACAAGACAAAATACACACACATAAGTAAATATATATATATATATATATTGTATATACGACCCGCCAAAATACCACACCGCGCCTTAAATTATGGTATCCAAAGTCCCTAAAGTCTAAAAACCATGCCTAACCCCAAATTTCACTAACGTTGATTACGCATATTAATGTGCATGACTTTTTAAGCTTGATTTGACAGTGAAATTCCTCCCCCCAAAAACTGCCAAAAACCCTGCAAAGAATCAAGGCAAAAAAGTTTAATCTTAAGACGCAATTTTGCTATTTTGTTATTTATTTATATTTGATAATGTAACCAGATAAAAATTAAATATCATAAATTTTATGTTAACTACACAATTTATATATATATATATATATATTATCCTTTTGTTTCTTTGCCATAACTTTCAGCTTTCCTATATCCAAAGAAATGGATAAAGTCATAAAAACATTTGCTTGTTGTCCCCACAACTCATACGTCTGATTTGCCGCAGTTGATCCCGTGAACAACATGACTCTCTTTCCCCTTTTTGTGGCTCACTTCTTAACGACCAACGAACCTCTCAACTTCTCCTCACTTCTTGCCTATAAATAGCAGTACACAAACCATTCTTATCATAAGCACTAAAAGCATTATAAGCTTTGTATTAGCTAACAAAAAGAAAATGACAACTTCATTTAAATTCTCCTTCACGATTGAAATTCTATGCTTAGCTCTTTGCTCTCTCACTTTAAGTTGTCATGCCTTCACTTCTATGGACTATTCTACTGCTCTTGAGAAATCCATCCTTTTTTTTGAAGGGCAGCGGTCGGGAAAATTACCGCCTGATCAGAGGCTCACATGGCGGGGTGACTCTGGCTTGTCTGATGGCTCATCCTATCATGTATACTTGATTAGTTTTATAACACATGTTTTTGTTACTTTTGCATATACTTATTAGAATATAAAACTATTGACACTGACACGCCTGCTTTTAAAAATTTAAATTTGTTAGAGAATTGGTAAACTAACATGGTCTCAAATCAATGATACTAATTCACATGGTTTCTTGTTATTTGTTTGTGTGAATTTCAGGTCGATTTAACAGGTGGCTACTATGATGCTGGAGATAATGTCAAGTTTGGATTGCCAATGGCCTTCACCACCACGTTATTGGCATGGAGTGTTATCGAATTCGGCGACGAAATGGGCAGCCAGATTGAACATGCCCGAGCCGCCATTCGCTGGGGGTCAGATTATCTTCTAAAAGCAGCCACTGCCACTCCAGGAACCTTATATGTCCAAGTAAGCTAAACAAAGCTAGTTACGAAAATTGAAAACAATGAAATGGAAAACCCTGTTTGTCCAACGTATTAGAAGTGTTGCAGCCTATGAAAACAGGACAGAAAAAAGGCTTTGAATTTAAAGTTCACTGATTTATTATGTTGGTGCAGGTGGCAGATCCAAACATGGATCATAAGTGCTGGGAAAGGCCTGAAGATATGGACACGCCGCGGAATGTTTACAAGGTGTCGACGCAGAGCCCGGGATCCGATGTTGCAGCAGAAACGGCTGCTGCATTGGCTGCAGCCTCAATAGTGTTCAAGAACTCCGACCCTTCGTACTCCAGAAAATTACTTCAAACGGCCATGAAAGTATGCCATGAACCAAAATATCATTGTTTAGCAGTACTTTTATGATCATTTTCATTGCCTTCATTGACAAGAAATCTTCAAAATGTGATTTTGCAGGTCTTCGATTTCGCGGATAGGTATAGAGGTTCTTATAGCGATTCTCTCAATTCAGTGGTTTGCCCATTTTACTGTTCCTACTCAGGATACCAGGTAATCTAACAGCATTTGATTCTAGCTTTCTTTTCTTCTTTATCTCCGCGGTTAATTACTGATAAATTCCACTTGTTTTATTAGGATGAGCTTCTCTGGGGCGCTTCATGGATTCATAGAGCCTCACAAAACACTTCATATTTGGATTATATAAAGTCCAATGGCCATACAATGGGCGCTTATGATGATAACTATTCTTTCAGCTGGGATGACAAGAGACCCGGGACCAAGGTTCTCCTTTCCAAGGTTGAACCTTCACAAACTTTTCCATTTTGCTTCCTGCAAAATCAAGCGATCACAAAATCTTGACAAAATTTTATTTGGTCTCTCCAGGACTTCTTTGAGAAAAAGACTCTGGAATTCCAGCCATACAAATCCCACTCTGATAACTATATATGCTCCCTAATTCCCGGAACATCTAGTTTCCAAGCCCAATACACACCAGGTAAACAATATTTTACTTAGAAATTAAAATGCAGTAATAAAGGTTTAGGCAATAAATAATTGTATTTGCATATTACGCACCCAAAAAACTTATTTGCTATAAAAAAACAATTAGTGACTCACCTATACTATAACCAGAGTAAAATGTGAAAATAATAAAATCTCCCATTTGTCTTATCAAAACGTTGTGTTGCCCCCTATATTTTCAGGAATGATGCACTTATACCCTAACTAAAAAGTTCTTTTGGTAGAATGTTATACCGTTTGGAGCGGATTTTTTTTTTTTTTTTTGTTTTAACACAATTATTTCACAGGTGGACTTCTTTACAAAGGAAGTGCAAGCAATCTTCAGTATGTGACTTCTTCAGCTCTCCTCCTGCTCACATATGCCAAGTACCTCAATCTGAATGGGGGAGTTGCAACGTGTGGAAGCTCAACAATCACAGCGGAAAAGCTAATCTCACAGGCAAAGAAACAAGTTGACTACATTCTAGGAGACAATCCAGCAAAGATGTCTTACATGGTGGGGTTTGGCGAGAGATTTCCTCAGCATGTGCACCACAGGGGTTCCTCTGTGCCGTCCATACATGCGCACCCCACCCGCATTCCCTGCAACGATGGATTCCACTACCTCGACTCCAGTTCTCCGAACCCGAATGTCCTTGTTGGGGCTATAGTCGGCGGCCCTGATAGCCGTGACAATTTCGCCGATGATCGGAATAACTACCAGCAATCTGAGCCTGCTACTTACATCAACGCGCCCTTTGTTGGCGCCGTGGCTTACTTCGCAGCCAAACCTAACTAAGAACTTAAAATTAGCATTATTGGAATCATGCACGAGGATTAGTATCAATACCACGTAGAATGTGAGGTGAGATGTAGTGGGATTGAAGTGAAATATGTATCCTCTTTCCCATAAAAGCTGCATCATATTTAGAGTGACTTGAAAGTTTAGTAATTACTTTTGAAGCCTCTTTTTTCTTTTTTTTTTAACATGCAAATTCATCAAAGTTTTTCACCTAGTACCAAAAAAAAGTACACATAATCCATTAATAGACAAATGATACAAAAGAAGAGAAGCCAAAAAAAAGCCAAAGGAACTTATGACAGCCCTTAATTAACGCAAATCAAGGCTGTTAGGAATTAGAAGCTCCAATTCCTGCTATTCAAGAGCAACAAGGAAACAAGAAAGAGAACAAAAACAAACAAAACACACACGAGTTTCAACGGTTCTATTCTCAACGTGATGACAACGGTCACTCGTCGTTACAGAATTTTAATATAACTAGAGCGAGAAGTACAAAGTACAATCTCAAAAATGTCCCTCTCAGCCTCTTTGTTTTTCTCTAACGAAAATGATGTCAAACCAATACACACCTGGAATTAGGTCCATTTATTCCATTAGATGAATTATCAAAAAGGTTTTCCATTACGAGTACTGATTTAGAGGATTTGAAAAGAAATATATTTCCTCTGATTGATAGATAAATTCATAGACCTATAGGTGGGATAGGAGAATTTATAAAGAGAATAGAGATGATGATAGAGATCATACAGAAGAATTCCGTACGAGTACTCTTATTTGAACGAAGTGAAAAAAATGCAATCTTTCTTGTCTAGTAGAACAAACACTACAACAATAACAACAATAAGTCTTAATCTCAATTAATTGGAGTCGGCTATATGGATTTCACTTTTTCACACAACTCTGTTCGAAATTAAACTTTTTTGAAAGCCTAGATCTAAAATGTATTTCTTAATGACTTCAGTCTACGTAATTCTTGGTCTACCCCTCCCTCTTTTAGTATTAGGTATAAGAATGTCCTCCCAAATACGAACCGGTACTTTTAGCGGTCTACGTGTTCCTAGTATTAGGTATTAATGTTTGTTCTGTTTGTTCTAATAGAACAAATACTAATACCTTAAATTTATCCTAACACCGAATCCGTTCAATCAATTCACATCTCCATAAGATTGTTGCACATGAATCGTAAAAGGGGTATCAAGGCATGAGAGGGCAGTGAAGCCAAAGAAACTTATTGACAAATAGTCCAAACCGCTTAAAGTAGTGATCATGTGGTATCCAAATAGTGAACGAAAAGATATATGCCATTATTTAGCATGTGTTCGGCCACCAAGAAATCCCGATTCTTTTGGAAGTTATGGAGCCATTTTTGGCCCCTTAAATTTGTGCCACTAAATGAATGTCGCTTCTGAACAGCAGTGGATTCAGTTTTTCAATACTAAACAACAAATGTGCCCATACCTAACTAGCTCATACTCTTCATGTAAAAGGGTCAAATCCACCACTGTTTATGTGGACCGTTTTTATCATAATCCCGTCAAAGTAAAATAGTAAAGTTGTAACAGAAAAAAAATAATAATAATTGAAGCATTAGATAGCAAGTTTAGGGCCTGTTCACGTCGCTGATTCGAATTTGTAATTTGAGTTGAGATGTGATTTTAAGGCCCCGTTCATTTCGCTGATTCGAGTTTAGAATTTGAGTTTTGCTACAGTGAAAAGCTCTCACAAACAATCACATCTAACTTTTTTGCTACAGTAAAAAGCTCTCACATAAAATCACATCTCAACTCGAATTAAAAACTCGAATCAACGAACTAAACGGATGTGAGAACTTTTTGCTGTAGTAAAAAAATTAGATGTGACTGTTTTTAAAATTTTTTACTGTAACAAAATTTAAATTCTAAACTCGAATCAATAAAGTGAACGAGACTCAATTTATATACGCAGAGGATTATGATTAACAAGAGGGGCAATATTTCACTTGATGGAAGCAATGATGTACATAAACGTTTTCTTACTTTTTATCTGGTTGCATAATTTTGCCCTTTAGAGCTCAAATCAGCGGACTTGTACTTTACAAATTAAGAACTGTCCTTTTTCATTATATTATCGGTTGAAATTATTGTTTTAGCCGTTAAAGTTAATTATCAGTTTTGTGAGTAATCACGTTAAACATTTACGGCTTGCAACACAAATTATTCTTTAATATCTTAATTATAAACCATACTGTTAAAAAATTAATTCGAAACAAGAATAGTAATACCCGCCAATAGTATAATAGAATAGTTCTTATGTAAAAATTTCCCTCAAATAATTGCAGTTTTGGTTTTTTTTTTTTTTTTTTTTAAGCAAAGGAAATAAGAAAGTTCACCTAATAATCTTTTTTTTTTTTTAAATGAGAAATGCTATGTGCCCGCACTTTTTCAACTAATTACAAATACTCACATCAACTTTAAAACTCACTAATTACAATTAAGCTAGAACTCACTAATTAAGGCAAGAATCATTTTCTGGTCTTATATGTCACTTTGTAATCGACTAAAAAATTAGCAGTGACCAGTGGTAATTACTTTTATTTTTCTTTCCAAACTTAACTCTTCATTCAATCAAGGAAGTAAAATGAAAGAAAAAAAAACAAAAGAAAAAAAAAGCAAAAAACAAAACAATAAAAAGATTATAGACTTAAGTCATGTTCATTTCATCTCATCGATTCGAGTTTAAAATTTGAGTTTTATTATAATAAAAAACTCTCAAAATTAGTTACATTTAACTTTTTATTATAATAAAAAATTCTCACATAAAATCACATTTTAACTCAAATTAAAAATCCAAGTCAGTTAATTAAACGGATCCTCAATCAATCACCTGGTTTCACCTTTCCGGTTAATTCCAGGCATTTTCCTTCAATTATCAAATTACAATTCCACCCACAAAGACCGAATCCAAACTCATTGGTAGCCCAGTAGTTAATTGAAAAACAGAACCCCACTTACGTAATTTCAAAAAGAGAATAAATTTCCAAGTCGCGTTGGTCGTTTACACTTTACTTACGGTTTGGAGTTTCTTCTGGACCTAAGCAAAAACTTCTGAAAGAGAAATCTCAAAAAATTAGTCCCAAAAATCCCCTTCTCCAACAAGAATCGAAAAGTCGTCAATAAACCCATTTTTTTCTTCAATCTCCAAAAAGGAAAAATCAGAATTCCATAGAAACGCAGATTTGAGCCTAATCCCTCAGATCCGAATCAAACGAAGCTTCGACCATGGCGATCTCGCCTAAATTTCTCTTCCTCATCGTCTTGATTTCCATGGCGTTCTCAATGTGTTTAGGTGAAATCCGATTCAGCAAGATTAGAGACGATGACCGGCCGATTATCCCCTTGGACGAGTTCGGATTCACGCACAAAGGTCGCCTCGAGCTCAACGTCTCGTCGATCTCGCTCTCGCCGGAGAAGTCCGATTCTGATCTCTCCTATGTCGGTTTCTTCCTCTGCACCAGGGAATCGTGGATCCATGTGTTTCAGCAGCTCGAGGATCGCGAGATCGAGTGCGCCCTCAAATCGGATATGGTGAAGAAGGTCCTCACCTTCAGCTCGGTCCACAAAGGCCTGATTCAGAAGACCACTGGTACTGTGTACAATGAAACCGATGCGGATCAGTACATGCTTCTCTTCGCGAATTGCATCCAGGGAGTGAAGGTCTCCATGGATGTCCGATCGGCGATGTATAATCTCGATGGGAAGAATAACGTCCGCGATTACCTCTCCACCGGCAAAACCGTCCTGCCTAGGGTTTACTTCTTCTTCTCCTTGATATATTTCTCCCTCGCCGGCCTCTGGATTGACGTGCTTTACAAGAAACGCCTCACGATTTTCAGAATCCATTTCTTCATGCTCGCCGTCGTGATCCTCAAGGCACTAAACCTCGTCTGCGAGGCCGAGGACAAGTCGTACATCAAGCGTACGGGAAGCGCCCATGGCTGGGACGTCTTGTTCTATATTTTTAGCTTCTTGAAAGGAATCACGCTCTTCACTTTGATTGTCTTGATCGGCACGGGCTGGTCCTTCTTGAAACCGTACTTGCAGGACAAGGAAAAGAAGGTCTTGATGATCGTAATTCCTCTGCAGGTCGTCGCCAATATCGCCCAGGTTGTTATTGACGAGAGCGGTCCCTACGGACACGACTGGTTCACGTGGAAGCAGGTCTTCTTGCTCGTCGACGTCATCTGCTGCTGCGCGGTGCTGTTCCCGATCGTCTGGTCAATCAAGAACCTCCGCGAAGCGGCGAAGACCGATGGAAAGGCCGCCGTTAACTTGATGAAGCTGACGCTCTATACTACATTGTGGTTATCTGTTACATTTACTTCACCCGTGTCGTGTTCTTCGCACTCGAGACCATCACCTCTTATCGGTACCTCTGGACCAGCGTGGTGGCGTCCGAGCTTGCCACGCTCGCTTTCTACATGTTTACGGGTTACAAGTTCAAGCCTGAGGCGCACAATCCTTACTTCGTGATCGATGACGAAGAAGAAGAAGCTGCAGCCGAAGCCTTGAAGCTCGAGGATGAGTTCGAATTGTGACGGCGCTGCTTCTGAAATTGGGATTGTTGAGGTAGATTTTCAACAATCATAAACGGGTCAATTTTGATCCGAATGTTTGGCATACTTGAGTTAGAATTTGTTCTATGGTTTCCTTATCATTGTGTTGACTTTACCTTGCCGGCGCTGCTTCTGAAATTGGGATTGTTGAGGTAGATTTTCAACAATCATAAACGGGTCAATTTTGATCCGAATGTTAGGCATACTTGAGGTAGAATTTGTTCTATGGTTTCCTTTTCATTGTGTTGACTTTACCTTGCCTGTTAGTTTTTCTTGAGTTAGTAGGACACGCTCATATACTTGTTACATTTATGGGAATTAGATACCCTGTGTTGCTGTCTGTGAATTGGATAGTATGTGTAAGTAGATACTTAATAATTTGCATTCATTTTTGGTATAAAGGGTATGCTTTTATATGTTTGTTCACTTAGATATTCAGATGCTTACATAACAGAGCATATTTACCAATTTTCTCAGATTTATTTGGGGCATTGAGAGTAGTTATTCTTGGTAGAACCTCAATGACTAATGCATATTGAACAACTTGGATGGAAGTCATTATGCTTAGGAGTAGAAATTATGGATGTTGGACATATCTAGGTCTTCGGTTAGAAATGTGAATTTTTCTCTGGCGAAAAGAAGATTTAAGTTGATTAAAGGTTGTCTTGGCAAGATCTTTTTTGATTGGTTAGAGTACGTCTTCAGCAGCTCTCAAATCTCTGTGTACCTTTTTGAGTTTTTTAACTTTTTAAGTGCATCTGAAGGATTGGAAACTTTTGGACTTGACGAAGGGAAGCAAAATGCCCTGAGTAGCTCTGTAAGTGGGAACAAAACCTAACGAAACTTAAAATGGCAAACACCAAACTTAAAACAGCAATATTCCAATTCAATATTCAATTTGTGATTACTGCGAAAAGAATCATGGGCTTATTCAGTTACTTTTGCCTAACTTAATTTGACTTTCAGTTACTTTGCCTAACTTAATTTGACTTTGTGATAATCTTTAAGGCAGTTTTGTATATTCTTTCTAGCTAGACTATGCATAGCTAAGCCTGATCCTAGTTTCGTTGTTGGGTAGTGCCTAACACTAATATTCTTTTCTTTTGTCAATTTTACCTAACATCTTGTGCCTATGGTGTGGCAAATAGTTTACAAGTTAGTTGATGTTGAAGCCTTAAAGAAAATAATGGCCTGTTCACTTTTCGGCCCGGATTTGGTTTATCCTAAAACAAGAATTGTGCATAAGTTGCCTACATCTGATTCCAAGCAGGGAGCTTATTTGTTGCCAATAACTTCGTGTGCAAAATTAGTGTAGATAGATTTCTTATGGATATATTATCCTATGCTTATTTTTCTCGTAATGGACGTGAAGTACTTGCTTGGTAAACATATAAAAATTGGATACCATTATTGAAATTAGTTAGGAGAGGGGTATCCAAAATTATCTCGTAATTATTTAACTTTCATCAGAATGCATCACAAGTACACAGTTTCTTTTTATTTCTTTTCATTTGGATATATCTCTTCTAAAGAAATTCATGGAGATAAAATTTGATGCTTACAAACACGCAATGCCCATAATATGTTCGACAATAGAATTTGATGCAAAATTATGTAGCTAATATACTGATTCTAGGTGTTATCTAACAACGAAGTTGTCGATGTAGTATCATTGTCGTATTTTGTTCTCGCCGGCCTTTGAATTCATCTGCACTATGAGGAAAGACTCCCCTTTTAATTGGCAAATATAATTTTTTATTATCAATTAATTTAAAAAAATTTTGAACTACTTTCAATAGAAGAATGAACATTGAAAGTTAGTATAAAAAATTGATATTAGAATTGACGTCCTTAAGATTATTCATTCACACAAATACTACTTTTTGTCCGACTATCCTTCCTGTTCTCTTCCTGCTCATAAATATTAAGAAGTCCTGAGAGAGTGAAGTTTCTCCAAGGAAAGTAAACCATGGCGTCCTCCACTCCCTTTTCCATCCTCCTCATCATCTGGCTATCCATGGTTCCGCCTCTTTGCTTCTCTGAGTCCCGCATTTTCCACTTTCAAGACGATGCCAGGCCGATAATCCCCTTAGATGAGTTCGGCTTCACTTCGCCAGGTGGCCTCGAGCTCATCCTCTCTCACTTCTCCCACTCCTCTCCTTACAATCATCCGCACCCGGACCTCTACCATGTTGGATTCTTCCTCTGCCCCCGGCAATCCTTGACCCGCCTTCTCCAGCAGTTAGATAACCGCATGATCGAGTGCCCGCTCCATTTGAACATAGCTAAGTCACCCCTCACCTTCCGATTACTCGAGGTGGGCAGAAGTGGAACTACCATGTTTATGTCAGTCGATGAGGATGAGCGCTACACTCTTCTCCTTGCGAACTGCATTCAAGGGATGAAGATCTCCATGGACGTAAAATTGGAAATGTTCAATCTGGTCGGACACGGAGACTTTGGCCGCCGCAACTATCTGTCCGCCGGGGAAAAACCTCTCCCTAGATTCTTGTTCCTCTTCTTCTCGGCCTATTTCGCTCTAACCTTGCTCTGGACTCATCTCTTGCTGATCAACAAGAAACGACATGCCGTTTTTCGCGTCCATTTCTTCATCCTCGCTGTGCTAATCCTCGAGGCAATAAACCTGTTTTGTGAGGCAGAGAAGTTTTCACACATGAAACTCCACGGTTTCCTCGTAGACCGTTTTAAGGTTGTTTTCTATGCTCTCAGATCATTAACAGAAAGCATTGTGTTCATCTTAACCGTGTTGATTAGCACAGCCGGACCATGGACATTCTTGAGACCTTTTTCCTTGCCGGAAAAGGACAAGTTGATGGTGTTTTTCATCATTATTCCTCTTCAAATCATCCGAAACATCGCTAAAGTCTTCGTCGACGAGACGGGGCCTTTTGGAGACTACCGGTTTACTTGGAAGGTAGTTTTTTTGGTCGCCGACTTGGTTTGCTGCTTCGCATGGCTCATCATAAACGACTGGTCACTAAAGGACATGCGATCACAAGAAGTGATCATCATGATCAATTTGCCAAAATTATCAGAAAGGTCGAAGGAGTACTTCGCTGTGGTTAAATTGTACGTTTTCTTAACTCGTGCTGTGCTGTTTGCATGGGATAGTACGATGATCATGATCTCGTACAAGTACGTTTGGATCACCATCGTTGTCTCGGAGCTTGTCACGCTTGCTTTCTATGCTTTTATGGGCTTCACGTTCCGACCAGATCAGGCCAACAAATTATATCACTACTCTTTGCAGATTGATGAGAAAGATCAGGAAGAGGGGGAAGCTGAACTTGCAGTGACAATGAAGATGGTGAAGTGATATGGAAATCATGGTATGGTTAATTAAGGTATAATACAAAGGAGTCGTGTTGCAATATTTTCTGGGAAATAGTATTTAGTAGTTCAGATGCATTAAATATTGGGTAGTTTAATAGCTAGATTGCATTCATTCATCTTAAACTTGTCGTGATTTATTGCATCCTGAAATTTTAATTTCGGTATTTTAGACACTAAGGTCGTGTTTGGAATTGATCTCGTTTTTATTTTTCACATTTTTTGAAAAAGAAAAAATGAAAACGTTTTCAAAACGACGTTTGGCGCAATATAGATAAAAAAAACAGAAACGAAAACGATTTTTTAGTTTAGAAAAATGACTTTTAGTCGTTTTTCATTTTTTATTTTCATTTTCTCCTCTCTCGAGCAGAGAAAAAGATATAGATATTAAAGAGTTTTTTATACTGAAAATAATCTCTTGATTAAACTACTAAGCGCATTTTTAAAAATAATTTCTGTCTGAGATTGAAAATATTTTCATTTTTATTTTCATACAAAAAATAAAATCATTTTGAAACTAATTCTAAACGCTCCCTAAACTTTACAATCCCTGACAACAAAGCTCAATGAAGAACCGACATCAATTGATTGGACGATAATCAGAGTCCATATGCCAAAATTTATAAAGTTCAGGTCCAATTCGTCACCCAACGAAAAGTTTAGGATCTTTGACAATTTCTGTCAATTAATTAAGGCTCATTGGTTATTGACCACAATTACGACAAATCTTAAAATTTAGGGTGCTATTTTTGTCAAAAGCGGAAGGTCAGACACTTTTAAGTTTAGGGTGCACCAATAGAAGTAACTCTAGTTTAATTCAAAAGTACATATGGTATGTATATAATAGCGATTCTTCGTATATATTAATTGGGGATTCATAGTTTTTGTAGTATGTGAGAGAAACAGTACTGAAAATTAGTTGTTTTTGGTTCTTTCGGCAGAAAAAACACTACAAGAAAATTGTCTCTGTTGTTAAAAGTGATTGATACAGGCTACAGCCGCATGTTGTCTTATGAAACAAAGTTGAGAAAACTAAATCGAAAAGATTTCTCCCAAGTTTTTTTTTTTAAAATGTAAAGATTTTTCTTAATTGAACTCTAATACGAAAAGTTCTTATGCGCATGCTAAAATTACCAAGAATACATCAAAAAGCATCATCAATACTCAACAGAATCGCAAAAACTATTTCAAAACCAGCAATGATAAAAAGTTCGGGAAAAAAAAAAAAAAGAAAACGAATATATTGGATTAATTCAGATGTTTGAGACTCCTTTACAAGTAAGACCAACCATTCAAAAAAAAAAGGGAAAAAATAAAAAGGAAAAGAAAATTTCCAAGAAAAATCAAATGACCAAGAGGCATTCGATATTCCTATGTATACAGTCAAAGAACAAAGGTCTCGAAAATTTTGAGACTGATCTTCCTGTTGGTCTTGCTTTTCTTTCGTGTTTTCCTTGGATTTATCGTTGTTGTTCCTCAGAAACATGTTCCTCAATGAAAACAACTGCATCATCTTGTTGTCAAAAGAGTGCTTACACTCAAAGTCTTCCCCGCGACTACTTGTCCGCAGAAAACATCGTAGACAACGGAAAGCAAATTCATGGTATATACATATATCTTTGTATTAAAGGAAAGAATTTAATTGTAATATTTGACCATAATCACTGATTTTATTCTCTGATTCTATCCAAATCAATTTAGGATTAGTTTCTCTCTTTTTGTGATTATAGAACTAATTGTAATTACTAGGATTATAGCTTTCGCACTTGTAACAATTGTATATATGTTTGTAATTGCTCATTGACGTGAATATACACAGAAATTCACAAAACTCTTTCTTCTTCCTATTTCTAAATTGTACACTATGAAAGCAATATTATTTATTTCAATATGTTGCCTTCCATTTACTATCTACTAATGCAAACGAAGAGAAATTTGCAGAGTCTTGTCTCTTAACCACAATGGGTCCTTTTTTGTTCAATTTTCCACTCATGTTTGGCCAAATACATAGACTTGGCAAATAATTATTTGCTGCAGGAAGTTAAGAAAGAGCCAACTTTCAGCTCTAAATTCATGGATGGATCATAATGTTTGGTCCTCAAATAGTATTCCTTGTTACTTGTTAGCTGGCAATAACCAATGTGTTTTTGTCAAATTTTGACCAAATATCGGTTTTGTTGGACCTTTTTTTTCCCCAGGCATGCAAATGTAATGACCGTCTAACTTCATGTTCAATCAAGCTCGAGGACATTGTTAAAGCATCTTTTGGGGACGGAGTCGAAAAAATAAGTGGGTAAGGAGCATATATGTAACTTTAAGAGGGCGATCCACGTATAATTTTCAGATTTTTAATGGAGCAGACTACAAAATTTAGCAGAATACACCGACAAAATGAAAAGAAAAGAAAAAAATCAGGTGGGGGCAGCGCCTACCCTCGGCCATCTATAACGCTGTCTCGGCGTGTTTCTCTTTCTACCAAATAGTTAGCAACTCATTAGTCATGTGAATCAGATTTAGTATTGATGTGTTTTTAGGACCAAGGCAACAACATATAAATAATTGAGCAGAAATCTTAGCATTTCATTTCTATACAATCGTTCAAAACAAAGCCAATAATCATAAATGGAACATGGGATTGTTTTTTTTACTAGAGAAAAGTATTTATCTCTATAATACTCTTGTCTGGGTCTTTCCACATGTGCATGTGTAATCACATGTCTCTTTTCAATAGAGCCTAAAAACCTGAATTGACACTTGGCTAGACATCCACTTTTTGTGTTGAAATAGATTGATTTTGATTGGACACATTATAGTTTATTAATGTGACCGCCGTGCTATAATTCTCATCGATTAACAATCGTTGTCGATAAAGGTACCAAAATAATTTAGTTAATAAAGTTTCTTATGACCCGTTTAGTTTACTGATTTAAATTTTTAATTTAAATTAATATGTGATTTTATATGAAAATTTTTATTGTAAGAAAAAAGATAAATGTGACTGTTTTTTAAAACTTTTTACTATAACAAAACTCAAATTCTAAATTTAAATCGGTAAAATAAACGAAAATTTGGTGTTATATATAGAAGAAAGGTTTCTTTAAAACCAAGATCATCTCTATCAGGATTAATAATGGTTTATAAAAAGGTAATTAATATTCTTTGGCCATGAATCAAGAAGGGAAAAAAAAAAGTTTTTTTTTTTAGAACAAAAGAGTGTCCCATAACAGTCAAATAAAATATGGTTGCAAGAGAAAGAACAAGGACCAAAAAAAAAATTAAATAAAAAATAAATAAAAATTGGGGTTTAGCAAAACATCTGACCTGAGAGCAATTGCTGCATGACTTCTCTTGTAAATTAATTATGCCAACATTTTCTGGTCACTTCCTATCATATTCCTTTAGGCCAAAACTTTAAGTGCCGCATTTCATACACTTTAAGAAGATTGAATTCTTGATTCACTAAAAAAAAAAAAAAAAAAGATTGGATTCTCGACTTGAATGAAGCCTTGTTGTGATTACTTCTTAGTAGTTCTATATTACAAGGGATTTTGGATTTTTTTTTTTTTATTCTGTATTCTTTTTTTTTTTTTTTTAAGGATTTTGGTGTATTCTATTACTAACCAGCTATCTTTTGGAAATCAAAGTTGGAGACCAGAGAGGGGAAAGATAAAGGAATAGCAGTGGAGACATTCATGTGGGGTCTGTAGAGCAAACAAATTAGCTTAAAAGTACCCCCCGCTTTTGGGCTTTTGGTTCCTTTGTCTTTCAACTTTTGCAAGGACATGATAGGCTGACTAGATTAATAGAATTTCTTAAGGATGAGGTTAATTCATTTGACTGTTAAATTTATATACCACTATTAAAAAAACGACTTATAAATAACATTAGTTTCAATTATTCTCTTTTATGTTATAGTTAAGTCGGTAATTATCATAATTTCACGAATAATAATAGTATACATTACCGTGATTTTTCGTAATCATTATAATTATTGAGAATCTAACATGACAATGTCATAAAAAAAAAAATCAAAAGTAATGCTACAACAAAACTTAAATTTTGTCTTATGAAACCTCATAAAAGACAACCAAGGAAGAAATTTTGCAAAATTATTCCAAAAGTCTAGACTTTGAGTACAGAAATTTTATTAAATATACAATATTTTTGGCTTTTCTAGAGCATTTCAAACCACATTACTCACAACCTAGCCAAGAAATTCTACCGTGAGTAGTGTTGCAACTTTAACATATATACCATTATGCTAATTGTTAAGGTGAGTAGTTTGAGAGCATTTCCAACACCGTGGGGTTGTCTTAGCTTTTATTCCACAAAGTTAGATATAAAGTTGGATTCTTTTGCTTTCCCTTCTTAAAAATTGAATATGCTTTCTTAATTTGCATGTATTAAAGGCGCATGGTGTTCTGATTTCTAACTCCCACTATGTGCTGGAGCCTTAAATTCAAAAGTTTTTTTTTTTTTTTCTTTTGTAATTAAAACAGAGATAGTATAGTGGCAAGGCTTCCAACATTTCAGGCTTGGGATTTCTGAGGTGAAAGCCAAAGACTAATAATAATAATAATAATAATAATAATAATAATAATAATAATAATAATAATAATGATGATGATGATGATGATGATGATGAAGATAAGTACTTGGTGTTCTATTATAACCAACTTCTCACTGAAAGGTCATATTATAAATATAAAAAAGTGCAATTGGTTACTGGTTAGTTTTTACTAGATAATATGATATATTTCAGTGGTCAAAACTCCAGAGATGTAGAATTAATTTCTATTGCCAGAGGCTCCCTTGTCTAGACTCTAGATAAGAAAACGGGGACTTGGGTAGGTGGTAAAATTTTTGTGGGCCAAACTTATTTATTGGACTATAATATATAGCTCAGTTGGAACAAAGTTAAGACACCGTTTCCTTTATGACCTACAAGCTCTATGGTTGCAAGATGTGCAATTTGTTCAGAAATTCTCAGAAGTTAAAAGTAAATAACTTTTGTTTTTCTGGTGTTTTTTCTTTTTTAAAAATACTGGTGTTTCTTTTTTTTTTTTCAACAGTTAAATCTTGTTAAAATCACACTAAATTAAAAAAATATGCAAAAAAAGTAGATTATGATATAGACGGTTGAAAAGCAGAGAACATCAATATTTTCAAAAATGATGGAACAATTCTCCTAAAGTGCAGTAAGGAAAAATGAATTTGCTTTTGTCTCTTTTGATCCAATAGCATTGAGTAAGTGCATATCTAAGTTTAATTAGTTTCATGCATTGGATAAAAGAGTACGAAATTAAGTAGGGTATTGCTTAGTACGGGACACTTAATGGTAATGTAGATTGCTAACATTTTAATGAAGACCGTACTCTTTTTTTTTGTTGTGTGATAAAATGAAGACCATGCTTTCATTTAACTAAAACAAACAATACCATCATAATTTTATAAAAATATGAGATCGAAATAACAAACAGCCTATTATATCATATTGAAATCATGTTCAGAATTAACTATATTCAAAGTATAAAATTCCACATCTACTTATTTCATAAAGAAAAAAAAAATAGACAAAAAATGAGAATCTTCGCATACTCAAGCGTGCATAGCTTTCTCTATTAAGAGGGAATGTGATGGAAGAAACAAACGCATTTTGTCAATTACGAAGTGACTTAGAGTCCGTTTAGTTGGAGGATTTGTTCTCTGATTCTAATCATAATTCATAGTTCGTTACAGTATTTTTTCTCACAAAAAATACACGTAAATAAAAAATAATTCTAATACATAAACTAAACATGCTCTTAAATTGTGTTGAGCAAAGATACACTAAATTGGCTGGCACATTGGGGCCTTCTAATTCCTTCCCCTACTACACATAGAGTCGGCCGGTTAGGTCCGTTAGGAGATAGATATAAATAAAACAGGACACCGCTCATAAAGAATCAAGCAGAGAGGAAAAAAAAAAAAAGTGAGAGAGTTAAAAGAAAACGTAAATTTGTCGGTAGCATATGAATCATACAAGTGAGATACTGTTTTAGGTTATATTAACTTTATATCTTTCTTATTTTAATGTGATTTTAATCGTATTTAATATTTAATAATAGAGTTATTTATGAGTTAGATTGATGCGGGATAAGACTTTTTCTTCGCTTTAAAGGGTGGGGGTTGCACATATTTGACCCTAATGATGTTAGAAAAATTTCACAACCTAATTATATTTGGGTTGAATTGGGGCGGTACCGGGTGGATTGGGTAGTCGGTTTCAACATTTAAAGAATCAAAGACTCAAAATTCAATCTAACATTTAAACTTTATCATCAAATAGAAATAATAACTCCAACATTCAAACATATAGAAATTCAAAGTTCAATACAACATCAAACATGAAGTAAAGTAGTCCATCCAACATCAAACATAAATTAGTTTACACTCATAAATTAGTCTTAACATAAAGTAAACATAAAGGCTTAATTCAAACATGAAAAAACTAGAGAATATAAATGAGTTGCATGTCTAGGGTTAGATATTAGAAGAGACAAGTTAGAACGTGGGTTGGGCTGGGGTGTGCGGGCCATTATATGCCTAATTCATACCTCGCCTCAAAACTTTGGGTCATACATTAAATAGGGCGAAAAAAAAATTTTAATACTAAAAATTATATTTTTCAGATTGAATTTGAGTGAGGTGGATTGAGCTTATAGATTTTACGAATTTATGAAGAGCCCTATTTAATAATAGGGAGAAAGAGAAAAATAGGTTAAGACTTGAGATGAATTAAAATTAATAGGTCAATAATTTACATAAGTTAATAAATATGCCAAATTACTGTTTTCGTCCATAACTTGTCTGGTTATGAACCATAACTTGACAAGTTATTCACAATTTTTGTCCATAATTTGTCTGGCTATGAATCATAACTTAACAAGTTAACTTATCTAGTTATGAATCATAACTTGACAAATTATGACCTATTAATTTCTATAACTAAAAATTAGCATATATACTTTCTTAAGGTTTTCATATTGACATATTTTTTACTATTTCCGTTAATAATATATATTATTAGCGTGATATTAATAGGGTACTGAAGATAAAAATAAAAATAAATAATAAATAATAATAATCAAAACGACAAAACCCACCTCACTCCTTCACAATGGCATTAATAACACTGAGGTGCATGTGAATTTTTGCTTCCTTTTTTCCTCCACTTTGTTTACTCCACACAAGCCTTAAGTTTCCATAGGTCAAGTAAAGGCCCCCACATGAAAAAGAGAAAAGAAAAATAAAGGTAAAAAGAAAGAAAAATAAAAAGTCTACACAACAAAGCAAAAGAAAAGCACACATGATATAGAAAGAAAGAAAGAAAGAAAGTATGGAAGAGAAGAAGAAGACGATGATGATGACTCTCAATAGCCCAGAGAACCCCAGAAATGAGTCCTCTGGTGAGCCCATAACCACCTCCACTTGCCCAACCTGGAAGCTTTACGAAAACCCTTTTTATAATTCTCACAATCAACCTCACCACAATCATCACAATCACAACCAACATCAAAATCTGACGGCTCAGAACTGCGTCTACCAGAGAAACACTAGTCTTCATCAGTGTCTACACCTCCCTCTCTCGGCCCGCAAGCTCGCGGCTTCTTTCTGGGACCTGACCTTCTTCACGAGGCCCGCAATGGAGTCGGAACTCGACATGGCTCGAACCCAGATCATGGAGCTCAAGACGGAGCTCGAGTACGAGCGGAAGGCGCGGAAGAAGCTGGAGTCCATCAACAAGAGGCTGGTTAAAGAGGCCGCCGAGGAGAGAAGAGGAAGAGAAGCAATGGAGAAAATGTGTGAAGAGTTAGCCAAGGAGATTTCCTTTGACAAAGCCGAGATAAGCACGATGAAGAGAGAGATTGAGGAGGAGAGAAAGATGTTGCGAATGTCGGAGGTGTTGAGGGAAGAGAGAGTCCAGATGAAGCTCGCCGAGGCGAAGATTGTTCTAGAAGAAAAGCTCTTGGAATTGGAATGTTCCAAGAGGATCATATCAGAATGCACTAATACCAGTACTACTACTTCTACTACTACTACTTCGTCGGCGTTAAAGAGCAAGGAAAATGTGGCTTCTAGAGCAGTTTCTAGTTTCTCGGGAAAATTCAGACATTTTGTGATGGGAGAGAAGTGGATTTCAAATGATGAGATCAATAATCGTGTAGATTCAATGGCATCGACAAGGTCAGTTTCTAGTCATGATCATAATCACAATAACAACATTAAGTACTCCTCATCAGCTTGTACTGAAGATAGCAGTGAGTCAGTTTTGAGTGAGAATTGTAATAATAAATCTGTGCCCATTTTCCCGAGAAAATTGTTGGCAGAAACTGAGAATCCTCACATAAAGAGAGGGATCAAAGGGTTTGTGGAATTCCCAAAAGTGGTTCGAGCGGTTGGGTCCAAAAACAGGCAATATTGGGGTACAAAATTGGAGTGTCAAAAGGCTCAGCTAAGAATTCTTCTCAAACAGAAAAGTCCAATCAGATCCAATAGCCTCATTACCAGTTAAAAGAAGAAGATCAATTATGCATCTCTGTATAAGGCTTGATTAATTCTATTTTGTTCTTTTTTTATCTGTAATTTTGTTTTTGTTTAATAAACCTTTTTGGGGGTTCATAATTTATTTTTCTGCGGCAAGGTCACTATAGTGGTGTCCTAAATTCTGCATCATTTTGCTCTTAAGAAACCATAGAAATGAGTAAATACGATTGAAGTTTGTATTTTTTTTGTGGATTGTTGTGATGTATATATAGAAATCTTGATGTTTTTGAGTAGTACGATATTACTTTCTGATTTCATGAGGTTGTCTATGGATCTGGGCAAGAGTTTACCTAAATTAATCTATTGAAAGCTCAAGTTTTGCATTCTAAGCTACCTGCACATGCACATATACTTGATAATTTTTCTTCCAAAATGAAAGTGTGAATCTTGACTTCTAAACAAGTATTGGGAAACCTTAGATCCACACTAAGAAAAATCTAAACGAGTCAAATCTAATTGTAACATGCAAAATGCTTTTTCTGACGACGAAATAATGGAATTTTTGTTGTCAGATTTTTTCTTTTATCAAAGTAACTCCAATTTCAACGGATTAATTACTGTGTAGAATCAGAGAAATACTGGTATATAAAATCTTGCAGGGACATTAAAATTTAGGATATTCCCACTAGTGGCCCTTAAATTTTGAGATTATTCTTAGTTTGTCTATCAAATTTTAAAAACTCTTTTTTTGTCCTTTAATTTAGAATTCTTTACACAATCTCTTTTGTGAGAATTTCTATTAAAAACGGACAGAAAAAAAAGTAATACAATGATGTAGTCTTTTAATTTTAAATTTATGTTAAAAACAAATGAATAAAAACTACCTAACCACATTTAACTCACTCTTTTTATATATAATTTTAATAAAAATTCTTATAAAAAAATATAAAAATGAGAGTCTTTAAAATTTAGAGAGTAAAGTAAAAATGATTCCAAAATTCAGAAGGTACAAGTGTGATTAACCCTAAAATTTGTTGGCAATGCTAATGTATTAAGGAAACGTTTAGTTCATGAATTAGAATCATAATTAGAACTATTTTTTATTTACGTGTATTTTTTATGAGAAAAAATACTATAACGAACTATGAATCATGATTCGAATTGGGGTACGAATCCTCCAACCAAACAACCCCTAAACTTTCCAATCCAAATAAATAGAAAGAGGTTAAATTAAGACCAAAAAAAGAGGTTAAAACATTAATTACCCCCAAATAAATAGCAACTACAGAAGGGGAAGATTAATAGAGAACGGGAAGGACAATAAATAGCTGGCTCTTTTCCCAAAAGTCATGACTCATGAGTCATGACTCCACGCTGTCAAAACATAAAAGGAAGGAAGGCTGTTGGCGTGTTGTTTTTCTCTTGAATGGACCACAGAACGGTCCATTATTCTACCCCAATTTTGTACATGCCCACAATGTGGTCTATGAGCCTATAGGCTATATAATACATAAGAATCCCCCGCTTGTACTTTGTTATTCATCTAAATAGCCTCAATGATTCTTGCGCTTGAGTTTGAAACCTGCAAAATTCTGTGAAAAAACAAAATCTTTAGTGGGATTTAATATCATGGGTTTGATAGACAATTTCGTCATCTGTTTGAGAATCTGAGATAAGATCCCAAGAACTGTCATGTTGGTAGTGACGTTCTTTCATATGTATCATATATATTTCTCATCTATATTAATATGCATTTTCTCAGTAGCTCAAAATACCAAAAAGGAAAGACTACAGCTAATTTACTTGAATATATGATTATGTTTCTTTTCACTTTAGTCCAGTAACTGTGATTATACCAGTACACTTTTGGTAATTATAATCTATATATATATATATATAGATAGATACTATAGTCTCATGATCTCATGATTACTTAACTTTGTAATTAATAGAGATCAATTTTTTACAGTATTAGAAAGAGTACTAGTCCTCATACTTTAGTATGATTTCCATTCAATTTAAAATGGTGGAAAACAGAAAAGCAAATAGCTAGCATATTGAACAAATGCCATGAACTTATACCCATTAACAAAAGATGCAATCATTCCTTGAGAGGGTTTTGGTGCCATGACAACCTGGTTTGTGCACTAATTTTTGGGTCAAAATTTTACACCGCTAAGGGCCCATAAGAAATTTCTCATTTGTTCTTGCCTTTTTCATTAAAAATAAAAAATAAAAATAAAATCCTTCCACTTCTCTTCTCTTTTTTTATTTTATTTTAAATTGAAATAATAAATTTAAACTCAAAACTATGATGTTGATATGAGTATGAAATTATAGCTACACTAAATTTGTAATAGCTATTTCTTAGCATTTATTTGTTTGGACATCACGAATTAAAGACACGTTTAATATAATCTTGTGTCACATTTGACTTTCTAATTGTAACTATTAATTCAATTAATGAGAAATGTTAGCGTCACTGTTCTGCTAACATTTCTCTTGATTCATACAAAGCGCAAGGAATTAAAACGAGAGCTACAGAGGAAGAATTATATAAGCGAAAGAAGAAACATGACAGAAAGCATAGCTGTAGAGGATCACAAGAAAACTCATCTTCTTATTCTACCAGCTATCTTTTGCCCATTTTTGCTATACTTGTCTACATCTCTACCTAAATGAATGGCACTTTTAGTCCTTTTTTGGATTTTGTATATTGGATGTGTATGAATGAGACATGGAGTGCAAGCAAAACTATTAAGTACTCTTATGGTACTACTACCACTTGAGGTTGAGGCCGTTCATCTACTAGCTAATCTCATTCCACACACCATCGAAAGTATCTCTTTTTCTTTTTTGCACTTTTTTTTTTCGTGGGCTTTTATGAGAACCCACACCGAAGTAAGGAAGTTATTCTCTTTTGGTTGTGGTGTAAACAATAAAATTACGATCTTAATTCATGTCAAACAACTAGACTTGCCATGTTTGCTAGAACTTTTTTTTTTTTTTTTTTTTTGTCTTTTAAGCATATTGAATTTTACTTGGGAGAAAATACTTTGATTTGTTAATGATCGAGCATAAGCATGTTTTTTTTCACAACTCAAGTTGAGAACTTGAATTGTAAATTGAATTTTGTGTGAGAAAAAACACTGTAATAAAAAATATATATATTTAAATTTTTATGAGAGAAAATATTATAGTAAAAAAGTTCAAGGTATGATTTAAGTGATTAGAAGGCAAACTAAAGCCTTAGTTGATAATTGCAAGATGAGCAAGTGGGCCAATTTGAATATTACTTTTCTAACAAATTCTCAACATTTGACACCAAAAATAAGGTAATGGAATAAAAGACTCAAATCACATTCAATTCCTGAAATGTAAAAGATTGTACAATATCACATTAAAATTGGTAATTGGACAAAATCTATACTACTTGTTGGAGCGGTTTTTTGCTCTAACTCCTTACAACTGCAGCTCACTTAATTCCTGTTCCTCAGGACGCCATAAGACTTTTGGGTGCGTTTAGTTGGAGTGGAGAAATGGTAATAGGAATGAAAATTAGAATGATAATGGAATAAAATGGAAAGGAAAGACAATTTATTTATTTGGTTCTACTTTTACAAATGCAATAGAATGGAATATGAATATTTTCATGTTGACAAAATTACCCATCATATTAATATAATTAATATAATATATATTAATATAATCATTTAATAACCAATATTATATATATAAAATTATAAGGATATAATATATATAATTATAATTATAGTTATATAATATTTATTATTATAATACCATCATAATATATAATATAATAAAATAATGATATTGTGATTATTTTATATTATAATG